CCTCTGGGAATGCTTGACCGGTTAAAAACAAAAAAAAATCCCTCAAATGAGTATGTGCACAGCTCAGTAAACACACTGCACATGCGGCACTCTCAAGTGCTGGCAGGCCACTGCGCATGTGAACAGCCTGCCCCAAGAAAGAATCAGGGGAGTAGAAATGCAAACCCGGAACCCTGACAATGTATAAAAATCCCAAGTCAAGGTTGGACCAGGCACTTGACTCTCAAGCTACTCACTTGGCCCTCTTCCGAGTGTACTTCACTTCCTTTCATTTTCACTTTAAAACTTTTAAATAAGCTTTCACTCCTGCTCTAAAACTCACCTTGGGGCCCAGCGTGGTGGCTCATGCCTATAATCTCAGCACTTTGGAAGGCTGAGGTGGACAGATCACTTGAGGCCAGGAGATCAAGACCCACCTGGCCAACATGGTGAAACCCCATGTCTACTAAAAATACAAAGATTAGACAGGCGTGGTGGCAGGCACCTGTAGTCCCAGCTACTCAGGAGGTGGAGGCACAAGAATCGCTTGAACCTGGGAGGCAGAGGTTGCAATGAGCCTAGAGCATGCCACTGCACTCCAGCCTGGGAGACATAGCAAGATTCTGTCTCAGGAAAAAAAAAAAAAAAAGGAAAAAAAAAATTAAGAAAAACATAAAACTTGCCTTGGTCTCCCACTTGGCTTTATGCTCTTCAGCTGAATTATTTCCTCTGAGGAGACAAGAATTGAGCTGCTGACAACCTATAGATTCGCTGTTGCTAACACCACAGCAGAAGAGGGCATGCCTTGAGGCCAGGGACAATGCAGTGAGTGCCAGCATAGCCCAGGGGCTCTGAGTCACAGAGGGAGCAGCAGTAGGGACTGGAGAGGCCTCCTTTCAAAACCAGTTACCTCCATGAAGATGTCACTGAATATCTAGGCCATGTTCTCCTGGTTTTCTTCCTACCTCTCCAGGCTGCCCAACCTCAGTCTTCTGGGAACGGTTCTAAATGAGTATTCCCAACAGGCCTCCTCCTCCAGTTACTCTACCCCCTCTTCCTCATACAGGTCAATTTTTGTGTACAGGTAACTGTTTCTCAAATCCATCTCTCTGGCTTAAATTTTGTTTTTAAACTCCAAATCAGTGGGTAACTCCATTTAGCTGTCTTGATGGCGCCTCAAACTCAGCATGACCAAAACCGAATTTATCTTCTCTGTTGATAAGACACAGCAGGGTGCAGTGGTTAAGAACCTGGGCCAGTCTGCCTGGTTTGAATTCCATCCAACTCACCAATTTCTGGCTATATGCAGAGGTTGCTAATTTCTGCATGCCTCAGTTCCTCTACAATAAAATAGGAAAAATGTTTGGTAACTATCTCATTAGGCCACTGTGAGCAGTTAAAAATGTAGTATCTGTAAAGCACTTAAAACTGTGCCTGGTACACATGAAGTGCTTTATCGAGGAAGTAAATAATAATATTTTTCCTCCTCACTTAGCAGTCTCTAACTCAGGAAACATTAACCAAGGGAAAACCTGAACCTTACGTTCAACTTCTCCTTCTCCAGTTTCCAAGTCCAAGACCTGCCAGTTCTACTTCCTAAGTATTTCTTAGGAAGATATTTGCATCTCCCCATTTCTACTATTCTGTTGAAGTTTGGGCTCTCATCATTTTATTTCCAAACTGGCTTCCATTCTTCACCTCCTCACATCTACTTTTCAGACAATAACCAGGGTACAAATCTTATCATGTGGCAAAGTCCTTAAATTCCATTAGTGGTTTCTCACTGCCCCCAGGTCCAAGTCCAAAACCATTAACATGACTAGCAAGGCATTTCCTGAGGTGCCCTTGCTAACGTTTCCATCTCAGTTCTTACCACCTCCCACAGGGGCACAGGTTGAACTTTCAGTTCCTGGAAAACACCATGATCTCTTGCATCTCCTAGATTTTGCAAACATCATTTTCTCCAGAACACTCTTCTCCCTGCTGTTTACCCAGCTAAATCTGAATCATTCTTCATTCTCAATGTAGAGTTCCAAGCAGCCTTCCCTTCTTTTCCAGCCCCACCCGTCTCAGGGGCCCCCACTATGCCTTCCAATAGTATCCTATGTGGCTACATTCATTGCTTACACCACCATATTTTAGGTATCCCCAATAAACCGTAAATTTCACAAAGGCAGGGTCAAGGACTGTCTTGTACACTAGTATGCCTCCAGTGAAAAGCAGATTGGGTCAGACTTAGACATGGAAGTAGGTTTTTATGGGATTCAGTATATACATATTAAGACCTTGGTAATGGTGATGGGAGAAAGACAGAGGAAAAAAACAGGGATCTAGAAAATGCCCCTAAAAGATAACTATTAGCTGGACACAGCGGCTCACACCTGTAATCCCAGAGCTTTGGGATGCCAGGGCAGGATAATTGCTTGAGGCCAGGAGTTCAAGACCAGCCTGGATAATATAGCAAAACCCCGTCTCTACAAAAAATGAAAAATTAGCTGGGCATGATGGCGCATACCTACTTAGGAGGCTGAGGTGAGAGGATTGCTTAAGTCCAGAAGTTCAAGAGTGCAGCAAGCTATGATCATGCCTCTTCAATCTAGCCAGGATTACAGAGCAAGACTTTTTTTTTTTTTTTTTTTTTTTTTGAGACTCAGTTTTGCTCTTATTGCCCTGGCTGAAGTGCAATGGCACGATCTCAGCTCACTGCAGACTCCACCTCCCTGGTACAAGTGATTCTCCTGTCTCAGCCTCCCAGGTAGCTTGTATGACAGGCATGCACTACCACACTCAGCTAATTTTTTTGTATTTAGTAGAGATGGGGTTTCACCATGTAAGTCAGGCTGGTTGCAAACTCCTGACCTCAGATGATCCAAAGTGCTGGGATTATAGATGTGTGCCACCACGCCTGGCCTGTCTTTAAAGAAAACAAAATAATTATTATCACTCTTATGTTCTAAATGAGAAAACAGAGGCTTAGACAGCTTAAATGACTTGTCCAAGGTCAAAGTCACACAGCCAGATTCCAGAAGCCTCATTATTATCACCCACCCATGCTGTTTTCTAGTGGAAGGCATGGGCAACACCAAATCAGACGTCCTGGGCTCTAATCCTGACTCTGCCACTTAATACCTGTTGATTTAAAACATGGAACAACTTCTCTGAGCCTCTTTTTTTTTTTTTTTTTTTTTACATCAGTGTGGTGTTATGATATATATTGGATTTTGGCCTGGTTCCTGGCTCCTGACTCCCATTGCCCTTGTTACAGTTATAATACTGGGTGTGTTCAGCCTCAGGGGCAGGACTCTTACCTTCTCCTGCCCTCCTTTCCACTGCCTCAAGGAAGGACTTCACTCTTCCCAGCCTTTCTGACTGAGGGTCTTAAGCCCCTTCCTGGTTAGGGTTCTACCCCATACCCTGAGTGAAGGAATGTTGATGTCCTGAAGCTTCCATGAAAACCCAAGAGAACTGCATTGAGTTTTCAGACAGCTGAACATGTGGAGGTTCCTGGAAGGTGGTGTGCATGTTTCCATCTGCATCTTCTGACTGTCCTTTATAATAAACCAGTAAGCACAGGTAAGTGTTTCCTTTAGTTCTGTGCACTGCTCTAGCAAATTATTTGAACCCAAAGAGGGGTTCACGGGAATCCCAACTTGAAGTCAATTGGTCAGAAGTTCAAGGCCCAGACTTTCAGCTGTGAGGGAAAGAAGGGGTGGTCTTGTGGGACTAAGCCCTCAACCTATGCGACCTGACACCATCTTCAGGTAGGACACATACTGATGTCCAGGCTTGGTATGTGGGGAAAGACCCCCACACCTTTGGTCACAGAAGATTTCTGTGATGATGACTGCTGTGGTGGTCTGAGAGCAGAGAAAACCCACATTTTGACAAAGGTTCCCCCTATATATCAGTTAAATGGTTATCACAACATCTGTTTAGCAAGGTTCTTAACATAAAATAAATGACAATTGATAATTTCTGGCCTTTATAAATTGTTCAGTAAGTGCTGAAACTATCCCACAGTTATCTGGTACAGTTATCAACTTTGACAAAGCATGGGGCTTTTTGGAAGGAAGAGAGTAGTAAAATAAGTCAAATCCATGCTATCAAACTTCATAATTAATGGGGACTGGCTACAACCATATCATTCTCTTTACAGAGGATGTAATACTTTGTCATCCCCCAAAGGGAAGCCAAACTAGAAACATGACTATGAATTTCACTTTGAAGACACTTCACAAGTGGGGCTTCCTTTTAGAAACAAGGTTTGCCTTCTTCCACATCCACATTAAAAGTCAGTTCACTGGACACTTATAGACAGCAAAATTTTGATTGCTCTCCTTTCATATTTTTCTAAACTCATCTACGCTCCTTTCTTCAGTTTCCTTTCCTTGGAAAATGAGCATTGGCCTTGTTTTCCAAATTCACATTGAGCTTCAGAGAATTTAAGTTGCCAAGCCAGACTACACCCAGGTCTTCGATTCCCATGTCTTACTCTTCAAAGCTCATGGAAATACCATCATTCTCTAAGAACACTTTTGAGCTATGTGCCCTTAATTTTTATTTGCTTAGTCAATGTGAATCAAAAGAACCATGTATCGAGTGATTCTACAGGGTCAAAATAGGTGGACAGTCATGGATGAAGCAAGAAAAGTATTAACATTAAAGAAAGAAAAAATGAATCATAATTCTCTTGGAAGGGAGGGAGAAACAGTTTCACATATATGATAACCCTTAGTGTGATTAGGAGCACGTGGGCAGGGGGCGGGGTCTGTCATGTGGAGCTGCAGGGCCAGCACCATTAGGGCAGTCTGGCGCGTGGCACCCGCCAGGCACCCAGTCCTCCACCACTGCCCTCGCCTCCCTGGGGCTAGCTAACAGGTATCAGTGAGCGCGCCTCCGGCTGAGAGAGAGACTGAGCGAAGAAGAGGGAAGGATGGCTAGTCAGTCTTATGGCGGGATCACCTACAAAGAGAAGTTCTAAAACAAGAAGAAGAACTTGGGACATTGATTTGCAGCTGGAAATGGGGGATGGACTATCAGACCAGATTTCCATCCTGTCCAGCCTGCCTTCATTTCAGTCCTTCCACATTGCTATTCTGGGTTTGGACTGGGCTGGAAAGACAACTGTCTTATACAGACTACAGTTCAATGAATTTGTAGATACTGTACCTACCAAAGGATTTAATGCTGAGAAAATTAAAGTAACCCTGGGAAATTCTAAAACAGTCACTTTTCACTTCTGGGATGTAGGTGGTCAGGAGAAATTACGGCCACTGTGGAAGTTATACACCAGATGCACAGATGGCATTGTATTTGTTGTGGACTCTGCTGATGTCGAACGGATGGAAGAAGCCAAAACTGAACTTCACAAAATAACTAGGATATCAGAAAATCAAGGAGTCCCTGTGCTTATAGTTGCTAACAAACAAGACTTGAGGAACTCATTGTCTCTTTCAGAAATTGAGAAATTGTTAGCAGTGGGTGAACTGAGTTCATCAACTCCGTGGCATTTGCAGTCTAACTGTGCAAACAAAGGAGATGGCCTAAAGGAAGGGCTTGAGAAACTACATGGTATGATCGTTCAAAGAAGAAAAATGTTGCGGCAACAGAAAAAGAAAAGATGAATATCAATACCTATTATATCAGTGTGGAGTAGGTTTTGTCTGGTCTGATTTTGACAAACAGCAGAGTATCTACAGTCTGATTTGCCTGTCTGCCCTCCTGGATGCTACTAAAGCATTTGTTCTGTTGAACAATCAGATGCCCAACTCCTGCCTTGTGGAAGATGGAGTAAAGGCAGTGATTGTCCCTACCCCACAAATCTTTTGGTACATTTGGGGAAGCCAAGCAACGATGGAAATTGACCAGAACATGGTTGTGGAAATTTGACCTGAAGTTAGTGAAACAAAACTTTAAAGAATTGGGGAAAAAAAGAAAAAAAAAAAAGAATATGGACGTGGTTTTTAATGCCCCTCCCTCAGTTATTAGAAAATGCTCATTGAAGTTCTGGACTGATGGTGTGTTTCAAATCATTTAGATTTTCCTTGGCAAGACTGCTCAAAGCCCTAATGGAGAAATGCAGCTGCCCCATCCACTTAGAGAGGCCCCAGCTGCCTTCAAAAGAACTCAAAGTTCTAGCATCTGAGGAACAGTCATGCAAACCACAGTCTTAAGTATATTGTTTATATTTTTCTTTAATGCAGAAATTCAGGATGAGTGCTTTTCAGGCAGAACATCTAATCTGTTCATAATGCACAATGGCCAAACACCCTTTCAAAATCCCATGTAAAAGACAAAATGACCAACAATATTTGATATCCAAATGCTTTTATTTCCTTCGATAAAAGAAAGACCTTGTAACTGTACCAACATTAGTTTACAAAGCCTTAAAGTATAGTCAAATTATTAGCCTTTGCTGAAGATTTATAGCATGTTTATTATATAGAAATAACCCACACTCATGAAAAGAAGGCTGGCTAATCTTCAGCTAATGTAAAAAACATTGGCAATACACCTAATGATGGATAAGGTTTGTAATTGAAAATGGGAATGGAAAACAAAGACCTAGAATGATGACCTTGGGAATTAAGAGCAGGACTAGACAAGATGGGAAAGAGACTGAGGATTTATTTACATGCGATGGTAGTTGGAACTGTGAATGCTTGCAAGATCTGCGAAGGAGAAAATGTAAAGAACAAAGGACTTTTAATAAAGATGTCAAACTTACCAATTAAGTGCATCTGCTGCAAACACAAAAGAATGGGAAGTAATATGTAAACATATAAATAGAATAACAAAAAATACAGAGCAAAATAATAGAGCAACCCTAGCTACAAATAGGAAAAAAAAGTTCTTAGTAAAGCTTTTCTCATGGATCAATTCTCCCCAAAATTGGTCTATAAACTCAAAACAATTCCATCCAAAATCAAAATGGAATTTTTAGGCAAATTGACAAACTGTTAATTTTTTTAGAAGAGCAAGAATAGCTCAGACATTTTTTTTTTTTTTTTTTGAGACGGAGTTTTTCGCTCTTGTTACCCAGGCTGGAGTGCAATGGCGCGATCTCGGCTCACGGCAACCTCCGCCTCCTGGGCTCAGGCAATTCTCCTGCCTCAGCCTCCTGAGTAGCTGGGATTACAGGCACGCACCACCATGCCCAGCTAATTTTTTGTATTTTTAGTAGAGACGGGGTTTCACTATGTTGACCAGGATGGTCTTGATCTCTTGACCTCGTGATCCACCCGCCTCGGCCTCCCAAAGTGCTGGGATTACAGGTTTGAGCCACCGCGCCCGGCCTAGCTCAGACAATTTTAAATAAGTATGCATGGAGATACACTATTAGACATCAAAAGTGTTTACAAACCTGAGTATTTAAGACAATAGGTAAAACACAAAGAGCCTTACAGGGAAGAAAATGAGCCAAGAATATAATTTTACATTTTATAAAAAAAGGAAATCAAAATAACATTAAACATATTAAAGGTTGTTCAATCTCATTTGAAATTAGGAAAATATATTATCAAATTAAAGCCACAGTGAGATTCATTTCACAACCAAACATTGATAAAAATTTAGAAACCTCATGATTTCAAGTGGTAAAAGAATATGAAGAAATGTCATCTCTTACACCTGTCTGTGGCATTTGAGTGGGAGGAAGCTATAAAATTCATTAGTACTAATATTTTGCAGAACAATCTGGTAATACCTTGTAAAGTTAAAGATGTACATATATTTTACATAACAAGCAGTTGTCTAGTACTTTCTATGTGCCAGGCATTAATAAAATTCTTTATAAATATTAACTCATTTAATCCTCCTAACAACTGTAGGTATTATCTTTTTACTTTCTATTTTGGTATAATTTTAGACCTCATGTACAAAATATGAATTATTATCCTGCATTCATGACATAGTGTCTTTATAGGTCCATTTTTGAACCAGGTGAACTTACTAGTTACTTTGTTAATTATGTTACAGATGTAACAAGCACCCGTAAACTTAGTATCCAACAGGAATCCTAGTATCTTCACAATAACCTACATCTAGCCATATACAATCATGCACCTTGCAAAATAGTGTAAAGTGTAACAATGTTTCAGTCAATGATTGACCACATATATGATCATGGTCCCATAAGATTATAAATATGATATTTTTACTGTATCATTTCTATGCTTAAATATGTTTAGATACACAAATACATCCATTGTGTTACATTTGCCTACAGTATTCAGTATAGTAACATGCTGTACAGCTTTTAGCCTAGGAGATTTAGGCTATAGCCTAAATAGCATAGTTGACTATATCATCTAGGTTTGTGTAAATTCACTCTGTTAGCACAGGTATGAAATCTCCCAAAGACACATTCTTCAGAAATATCCCTGTCATTAAGCAACACATGACTATATATATCGCAGTCCATCCCCTTGCAACAGTTTATTAATATTTATATGGCAACCTAGGAAATGAAAATATTTACAAACCATATCGGATAAGGAATTAATTCTGAAATATATATAAGAAGCTCTTACAACTCAATAACAAAAAATAAACAAACAAAAACCTAGGAACCTGATTCTAAAATGGGTTAAGGACTTGAACACACATTTCTCCAAAGAAGACATACAAAAACATACAAATGGTCAACAGATAACAAAAAAATGCTCAATATTATTAATCATTAGGGAAATTCAAGTCAAAACCACAATGAGATATTGCCTTACATGTGTTAGGCAGTTATCAAAACAACAACAACAAAACCACAATAAGCATTGGTGAGGATGTAGAAGCTGATGCCCTTGCACACTATTGGTCACAATATAAAATAGCACAGCAACTACCGAAAACAGTTAAGGACGTTCCTCAAAACATTAAAAATAGAACTACCATATGAACCAGTCATCACACTTCTGAGTATTTATCCAAAAGAATTGAAATCAGGATCTTAAAGAGATATTATCAGTTCCATGTTCACAGCAGCACTATTCACAATAGCAAAGATGTGGTTATATAACCTAAATGTCCAGTGAGAGATAAATAAAGACAATGTGGCATATACATAGAATGAAATGCCAGTCAGTCTTAGTAAAGAAAATTTGCAATATGCAACAACATGGATGGGCCTGGAGGATACTATGCTAAATGAAATTAGCCAGTCACAGAGAGATAAATGCTGCATGATTCCACTTACATGAGTCATCTAACATAGTCAAATTCATAGAATCAAAGAGTTAAATGGTGGTTCCTAGGGGTTAAGAGGAGAGGAAAATGAAGAATTTCCAACTTTTTTTTTTTTTGGAGACCCTTCCTCACCCAGGCTGGAGTGCAGTGGCACGATCTCAGCTCATTGCAACCTCCGCCTCTCATGTTCAAGTGATTCTCATGCCTCAGCCTCCCAAGTAACTGAGATTACAGGTACATGCCACTGTGCCTGGCTAATGTTTTGTATTTTGGTAGAGACAGGGTTTCACCATGTTTGGCCACGCTGGGCTCGAACTCCTGGCCTCAAGTGATCTACTTACCTCAGGCTCCCAAAGTGCTAGGATTACAGGCATGAGTCATCATGCCTGGCCCAGAATTACTATTTAATTAGCATAAAATTTTATTTAAGTAAAATGAATAAGTTAATCTGTGATACATTGTACTTATAATCAATACTCTGTTACACAATTAAAAATTTATTGAGGATAGATATTAAGTGTTCTTACCACAATAAAAAGTCTTAAGATTGACATAGCTAGATTTTATTTCTGTCAGCTGCTATATAACATTCCATTTTGTGAATATACCATAATATAAATGAGGAAAGTAAAGCAAGAGGGATTAAGTCACTTGCCCAAGGCAAAGCAGCTATTAAAATATAAAATCAGTATTTGAATCTAGAAAATACTTCCTGCATCCCTGTTTCAGCCACTATGTAATGCTGACTCTGTTTCTAATATAATGGGATGGAAACAAATAAAATGTTTGTCAACAGAGAATGGAAGCTTACATAGAGGTATATTTGGCTAGGAACAGTGGCTCACACCTATAATCTTAGCGATTTGGGAAGCCAAGGTAGAGGATTGCTTGAACCCAGGAGTTTAAGACCATCCCTGAAACATAGTGAGACCCTAACTCTACAACAAATAAAATATTAGCCAACTGTGGTGCCACATGCATGTAGTCCCAGCTACTTGGGAGGCTGAGGTAGGAGGATCACTTGAGCCTGGGAGGTTGAGGCTGCAGTGAGCTGTGATTGTGCCACTGCAGTGCAGCCTGAGCAACAGAGTGAGACCCTGTCTCAAAAATAAATAAATAAATAAGTAAATAAAAATAAAGGTGCCTTTATCAAATGAAATCACATATAGCAGTTAAAAATGAATGAACTGTCTTGGTGTGGTGGCTCAGGCCTGTGATCCCAGCACTTTGGGAGACCAAGGCAGACAGATAACTTGAGGTCAGGAGTTCGAGACCAGCATGACCAATGTGGGGAAACCCTGATTCTACTAAAAATACAAAAATTAGTAAGGCATGGTGGCAGGCACCTCTAATCCCAGCTACTTGGGAGGCTGAGTCAGGAGAATTACTTGAACCTGGGAGGCAGAGGTTTCGGTGAGCTGAGATCGTGCCATTATACTCCAGC